GGGGGTGGGGAGTGAGTGAGCAGCTGTGTGGTGCTTAGTTGCTGGCTGGGCCTAAACCATGACATCTATATTATTTCTCAATGGATTGTATCTTATGGTAAAACTGGATCATCTTCTGGAAGAGAAGCAGAGGGGGCAACATATTCATGCACAATATAACTTTTCTCAGGAAGCAAGAAAATAAGAGAAGGACACTGAATTACAGAAGAAAAACATCACATATATATGGATTTTTCTCTGCATATTTGAAAACAATTAAGACTGTTTTTGAGGAAGTCACAGTTTTTATGTCTAACATTTTTTTAGAAAAGTGGCTTAGTCTTATTGACACACTGTAAATGAGGCAGAATTTTGTATATTCCTTGCTCATTAAACACAAATGAGTCTCAAGGGTTAAGTGGGTGATCTGAAACTCCATACATACTTTTTTATGTACCAAATATTTTAATTAATAACTGAATGCAAGGTAAACATTGAAATTGTTTTGAAACTTCTTTGTGCAGTAATCACATTATTGTATAATTATTTATTTTGAATGTAAGTTCTTACTGTAAATGATATTATAGTTTCAAACTATATTTACGTACCATTTCAGTCAATTTGTGGATAATTTCCTAAATTTGAATAATTTCAGTTTTTGCATTCACAAAGACAACATTTTATGATGAAATAAATGTCAACTCCTGCAATTTTTTTCATTGAATGACGCTGTGTCATGGACTAAAGTGTTTTGCATCTCATATCCAAATTTGCAGGCATATAGTATCTGTGTGGATTTTTCACAAGGTTTCCTGACAATAGTGACTTTGAGAATTTTGAAAATGACTGTTATAACTGCTGTTATCTGGTATAGTTAATCTTTACTAATGGGTTAATCAAAACAGTTATGAATGGTGGTATATGCCTGCTCTCTGACTACAATGAGAACTCAAGAGATACCAAGGCTACAGATACTACAAATAGCTACATATTTAGGAGAAGACTACAAAGGAATTAACTTGAGAAAAAGTATTACCAGTCACATGGTCATCATTAGGCAAGCAGGTTTGCTATACTTGAGGAATAACTTTTCTCTGGTTATTGTTGCACTTTACATTTTGGTGACTTACCAGCAATAACTCATCCTATAACTATCATCAATGATAGTGTCAAATATAAAGATAATTCACTGTTAGGAGCAACAGCCATGCTATTTCTGCAAGCCAGAAAAGTACTTAACCCTTACCTTTATATAACATACTGTAAGAAAGACAGATTCAAAATAGAAGTCCAAAAAACCACAGGAAGAAACTCCTAAAATTTTCTAGATCTCATATTGCTTATCTTTGAAGTATATTTGTGTCTAGAGTTTCAGTTCTGCAAGCACTAAGGAATACTCTATATTATTTCTGACTTGAATTCTGGTGAAATAAAACCCCCCACAACCTAGGTAAAGCAGCACACACATTTGCTCTGCCCTCACACAGCATGAATC